GACTTACGATAAAGGGCCTCAAATTTAAAATCTGACATTATTTTCAAACGTGTCCATTCATGCAGCCAGCGTATGTGTGTTCATGTACGTGTTTAAAACCATTAATTGGTGAAAGGAAACATTTAAAATATACCACAATGTTTGCTGCTCTGTGTTGATATTTCTTCATCTTCTTTTTGTAATCCAGGGAGCCTCAAAAAATGCAAGAGGCCTAGACTTCTCTAGAAATTTAGAGACCATGTTCTCTGGTACCTTCTCTCTCCTCATATGGAAGATTCAAATACCAGGTAAGCCAGAGCACAGCCTTCTCCACCACTCCTGTACCCTTCTCTCAGTCCAATTCTGTTTCTTAGGCTGCTACTTACAACTACCATCTACAATCTTCTCCCTGCCCCTTCCCCCACCCAGCAGCACCCTTCCACTCCGCACACACCCACAGACACAAACATCTCCTTACATACCTGGAGCTGAGTCTCAGACCTGGCAGATTTCTCTCCCAGCCTCCATTCTGTGTGCTCAGAGATATCAAATGGGATTTCCTGCCTCCCTCAGAAATATAGGCTATGCCATAGAAATGTGCGTATTGCAAAGACTGATCTGAACAGGAACTCTGCTTACGAAATACCTTCCCACAAGTAGGAGGTTTGAGGGCGTGAGGGGTGGGAAGCAGGAGGCTAGAAGTTTGCTGCCATTCCCAGATGCCTGTTTTGATCCTGGCCTGAAACTAAGTCTCCAGAATTTACGGTAAACTGAATTAGGCAAAAGCCTTCCACCACCAGACCCTGGGCACTCAAATCTAGAAGCTGGATGTTGCCTGGGGAAGTCGTTCTGTTCACATATGACACAAACTAGTTAGCTAGCATAAAGCCTATGAAGTTGGGAACAAGGGGGAAAAGAGGGGTACAGTAAGGGAGGCATAAATAAAGATAAATTGGTAAAAGGCCCTGCTCTAAAAGCAGTTGACAGCCTCCCCCTGGGGGAAGGTGATGAGTACTAACTAGTAGAACACCAAAACCAGTTGCCATGGAGTCAACTCTGATTCGTGGCGACCCCATGTGTGGCAGAGTAGAATGTGTTCCATAGGGTTTTCGATGACTAATTTTTCTATTGCTAAGCCTTTCTTCGGAAGTGCCTCTGGCTGGACTCGAACCACCAACCTTTTGGTTAGCAGCCAAGCAAGCACATTAAGCACTACTTGTTTAAACCACACAGGGACTCCCAGTAGAATAGCAGGAGGTTTAGGAGGTGGGAAGTGCTGAGGGTGGGTGGGTATGAGGAGTTTGTCTGCAGGAAGGTTGGACTAATTCCTGGGATAGGACGGGATGGGATGGAGCCCCCTTGAGATTTTCTAGGCTGCCGCTTATTCTGTCACCCCAAGACCCAAGTTTTTCAAGCCATGACTTGCTTCTTTAGGATTCAGGTTTACTGTTGGTCACTTGGAGTAAATTATCAGGTAGTCATCGTCCTATTTGAAAAAGAAGCCGAGAAGCTTCGTTGGAGAGTGGCCAGTAGAGAAGAGATGAAGGGGGTGGTGTCAGGGCTGATTGTTAGAGGTCTCAGAAAAAGTGTGAGGTATTATTAGTGTTCTAGTTGGGACTGTTTCTCCACAGGACTATTAAGTCTGAAGTTCCTCATTATCTTAGCTCACATCTGAATCCTCTGAGAGTGAGCTCTGTGGCTTTTGACAAGATAAATTTGTAACAACTAGCTCGAACATTCCCCATTACTAGGATCATCCCAGAGCTTTCTAGTTTTAAAATGCACACATTTTGCCTTCTAGAAGAAGACATGTTGTTGTTGTTAGCTGCTATCAAGTCAGCCCCCGACTCATGGCAACCCTTTGTACAACACAACAAAATGCTGCTTGGTCCTGTACCATCCTCATGATTGGTTGCGGATTGGACCATTGTGATCCCTAGGGTTTTCATTGGCTGATTTTCAGAAGTAGATTGCCAGGTCTTTCTTCCTACTCGGTCATAGTCTGGAAGCTCTGCTGAAAAACTGTTCAGCATCATAGCAACATGCAATCCTCTACTGAGTCAAGTGGTGGCTGCACAGGAGGTGCATTGGCCAGGAGTCTAAGCTGGGTCTCTGGTATGAAAGGTGAGAACCACCAATGCCCCCAGGGGAAGACATACCAAAAACAAACGAACAAACTCATTGCTGTCAAGTCGATTCAGACTCATAGCAACCCTGTAGGAGAGAGTAGAACTGCCCATAGTTTTCCAAGGCTGTAATCTTTATGGGAGCAGATTGCCACATTTTTGTCCTGCGGAGCAGCTCGTGGGCTCAAACCACAAACCTCCGGGTAGCAGCCAAATGCTTAATGACTGCACCACCCAGGGCTCCTGGGGAAGACATAGGTTATTAATAATAATAACTTTAAAATAATGAACATATACTGGGTATTTTTAATGTGCCAGTTACAAATATTAACTCATTTAATTGTAAAAACAAAGCAAGGATGTTGGTACTATTATTATCCTAGCATGTTACATATGGGGAAACTGAGGCATACAGAGATTAATCAACTTTCTCAGTGTCACAGAGTTAGGAAATGGCAGATTTGGCTCTTATTTCCTTAACCATTACACCACACTGTCGCTAAAGAACACATGCTGAATTTTCTCACATTGTAGAGAAAAGCAGTGAAGATTTTGGCAGGCCCGGTCTACGTAAATTGTTTCTTTTCCCATAGAAAAGATATACTGTACTGTGCCAAGGTTAAGTTTTGCGTGCAGCCACTTTCCCAGGGTCTCTTGCCTCCCTCAGCCTGGGGCGGTCATTCAGCTGAACTCCAGGCACTGTGATTATCATCAGTTCAACAAACATCAAGTACCTACCATGTGGGGGAGAGACTACAAAACCAAGCCAGGTGCTATCAAGGAACTTACAATCAAGAGAGGGAGACAGACATATGCAGAGAATAATAGGAGGCAAAATGTGGTGAATGTTACAACATAGATACAAATGAAATTATACACAGGGAGCAACAAAAAAGAAGTTAATTTTACCTGATTGGGAAGGGCAATATCTGATCCAGGCCTTCAAAGACGGATAGATACACAGATAGGAGGAGGTGGTCAGGGAAGTTTGTCAGCCAAACTTAGAATGAATATGGGCTGAATAGCAGGAAAGTCTAAGGCTTGCTAAGGATTCAGGCAAAAGTCTGGAGAGAAAGCTTGGGGCCTTGAATGCCATACTAAGGCGTTGGGGCTTCTGTTGTATAGGCCTGTGTAGTCTCCTAGGAGTATGGGAGCAGCACAAAGAGAGCCAAGGTTTATGAAGATGACTCCACATGACAGCTATGCATAGGAGGGATCTATAGTAAAAGACCCTGGGGGCAGAGAGAATAATTTGATGCTGATGCATTGATTTAGGCAAGAATAATGAGACTCTCACCCAGGATGGGGGCAATAAAAAGGGAATGAAGAGATGGAAGAAAGGAGAAGTCAGAGGTGGAATCCACAGGAACTGGAGGAAGAGCTGGTGTTGCCTACAACCTTCTCCAGTAAATGGGAGAATGGTGAGGCCATTCATCAAGTCAAATGATGAGAATGTTGGTGGCTGGGCTGAAAAGTTCTGTCTGGGGCTGGGGTCATCCATGGGTGGGTACTGAAAATGGGAGAGCTCATGAAGTTTTCTTAACAATAGCTCAAGAATTCACAGATACAATTCTGTTTGGTCCATGTAGCATAGAATGGAAATGCCTTCTCATGTCCATGTCTCATATCTCTGTCTATCTGAACCTCCTTTTTGCAGAGCTCACTTCAAACTCCATCTCTGTCATGAAGCTTTTCTTCACATTCCCCAACAAGATAAATTCTATTTGCACCCTTTGGTGGAACATCTTGCTTATTGTGAACATGTTCTATTCACTCTTCTGTTCTCCCCATCTTAGTTGTAAGTTCCTTAATCAAACTGTGCTTGGTTTTATAGTCTCTCCCCTGTCTGCCCACGTAGTAGGTACTCAGTAATGTTTGTTGAATTGATGATAATCACAGTCCCTGGAGTATAGTTGAATGACAGCCCTGGGATGAGAGAAATAGAAGGAGGTCCTGGGAAAGTGGCTGCACACGTAACAGCGCTGGCACAGTGCAGCATATAGTTTCTATGGGCTTTTGGGTTACAGGTTTCTCCTAAGCTAGTAATGGTACCTTGTTCACTTTTTTCCTCAGTTGTATTTAGCACAGTAGCTGGAATATTCAGAGCAGGCCATCGTCTACCCAGGAGTATGGGATTAAGTGGTCCTGGGCTGAGCCCCTGAAGTACATGACCTGCAGCCATGTGCCTCCCCGCCCCCCACCCCTGCCCCTGCCTTGGATGCCTGTGAAGTGCACTTTACAGCTCAGTTCCTGGTGGTGGAGTTGGCAGCACAGCCAGAAAAACTGGATACGAAGCACAGCTCTATCGCTAGTTGTGTCACCGACAAACTTCCAACTATTCTGAGCTTTGGGTCCCTCGCCTGTAAGATAAGGCTGCTGTTTTAGAGTCACTGTAAGGATTCAGTGTGAGGCTGTGTGTAGGATGTACATGGAGCTCCAGGCACAGGACCACACGTAAGCATTCGACCAAGGGCTTCCCCGTGCGCACACAGGCCTAGGGAGCAGGAGGCCAGGGCTCTCGCCTAATCTTAGCCCTACAGTAGGCTGGGTATTTCCTCACTTCCTCATCTGCAGCACGAAGGAGAGTAATCTTGAGCCACAGGCCTGGGGGTGGGTGAAACGACCAGTAGGAATTCACATAAACATGTAACAGAAATGCTAAGTGACTGTACCAACTCAGCCCGTGGCAGACATTTCTGGGGCTTCTGCCAACAGCCATCACACAGCCCACGCCAGATGCAGGCGCAGGCGTGACTGTGTCTCTGCCTGGCTGGGACAGAGGTCTGTGATGAGAAAGATGGAGATATACTATAGAGAGCATGGTAATGTTGAAAGAAAAGGCTGGGCTAGACCCACATGAGAGACTTAACAGAGGCTAAGAGTGGGAAAACTTACCAGAGGTCAGCCAGTCCAGACTTGGACGCAGAGCAGGAATTCCCTCTTAGTTACCTTCTGCTTGAATTCTTCCAGTGATAAGAAATCACTACCTAAAATTTTAGCAATTTGTTCCATTGCTCAGAGCTCCAATTATTAGAAATCTTTTTCTTCAGCCCAAATACATTTTTCTGGGACTTCCACCGGGTCTGTCTTCCAAAGATACAGAGAACAAAACCCATCTCACTTCCACCTAATGCCCCTTGCATATCAGATAACTGCTCATTTGATTCTCCTGAGTTTTCTCTGGTCTAAGCTGCTTAAGTTCCTTAAAACAGTTCTCACAAGACATGATCTTCAGATCCTTTGCCTTCCTAGACACTTCCGGCAAGCCCTTTCCAGCTAAAAAGGGGCCCTCAGAACTGGGCTCAAGACCACAGAAGTAGCACGGCATGGCAGAATGATTTAACCCCTTATTCTAGCCTTACCCCAATAAGGTGATTTTTCTCAGGGCCTGCAGATACCTTCACTTTTATCCATTTCCCACGGTGAGGAGAGCGAAAGTGCTGCTATCCTTGGAAGACCTTCCTTGTCGATATCACAAGAATTCCCAGCCACCTCTGGCCATTTAGGCATTTTGGACATCCCTTGTTACAAAGAAAAGTGACAATGCTGGCAGAGTGGGGACACTCCAGGCACTGAAACTGGTTGCTGTCAGGTTGATTCTGGACTCTGGAGTCTAACCCTTGGTGACCCCATGAGTGCCAGAGTAGAACTGTGCTCCATTGGGTTTTCCATAGCTGATTTTTCAGAAGTAGACTGCCAGGCCTTTCTTCTAAGGAGCCTCTGGGTAGATGCAAACCTCCAACCTTTTGGTTAGCTTTCAAGTGTGTTAACTGTTTGCACCACCCAGGGACTCCCCCAGGCACTTACTGAACCTCTTTCCCACCTAGTGGTTCTAGACTACAAATGGGAATGGCTCCTTGCCTGCAGGCTGATTTCTCTCTCATCCTGGCCTGATAAGAGTTTCTCTGAAAAGCACTAACCAGTGTGGCCAGCGATGCACTTTCCAGGGTGAGTCCCTCTTGCCCACTTTTGGGGCTCAGCATCACCCTGGTAGTCTCTTCAGTGAGGGGCAGGCTGCTACCAAAGGCAGCCATAAACTGGAGCCCAGAAGCTTCTCAGGTAAATGTTGGCTTTCATTGGCAAACCTTAACAGTATTGTGCTGCACGCAAGGCCAAAGGGTCCTAGCAGATGGGAGAGAAAGAAGCGCTGATGGAGGGAAGGAGAGGGAACCAGTGAAACAGTTCCTGAGGGCTGGTTTGCCAAAGGTGTCAGGGAAGGAGGGATGCATAGTGACAGAATGGCAGAGAACAGGATGACACAAACTGTTCCAAGTCCCTGCTTCCCCAAAACATCTCTCGGAACAAACACAGAAAGCTTCTGACAGGCAGCAAATTCACCCTAACAATAAATCACTAAAAGGGTACATTTCACACCCGAGTAATGCTGGTGTGCAGAGGGTCCAGCCCTTTTAATCAGCCTAGCCCAGTCACATGGGACACTGAAAGTCTGGGTTTCACCTAAGTAAGGAAATGACACATACCTGCCATGCCAGAGGGAGCTGCTGGGTGAATTACACCCAGGAAATGGAAAGGGCAAAACAGGTTGGCCCAGGGGAGGGCGGGGAAAAGGGAGGGGAAAACTGGGAGGCCCTGGGAAGTGCAGGCTGCTGGCACCGCCAGAGGTTCTAACTTTTCAACTCCTGGCCCTGCCTCCAGGGTGACTAACTGGGTCAGCAAAATAATAGGAGGCTCAGGGCCAGACCTGGATTAGGAAAGGTCTGCGAGTGATCGGTCAGCAATTCGTGTCCATAAAAGGAAGCTCTACAATGAGCCCAGGGCCTTGCCCTCCCGCAGCCCAGACCAGGCCAGGTTAGTGAACACCAAATGGGAGCACATTCAGCTCGACATTTCATAACAGGGAGATTGCATTTTCTTGGCACAACTGAGCAGATTTGGCTGCAAAGATGAATTTGAGAATGAGAAAAATTCCTGAGGAAGGGTGTTTGCATCTGCAGGGTTATCAGTAAAGAGGAAGGGGTGGGGCAGGCAGGGAGGCTGGCCAGCTCCAAAGCCCTGTAAATCTAGGTATACAGGCCCAAGGGACTGTTGATAATTGGGACACTGGAGGCGCAGGGTAGCTGGGACCGCAGCAACATCCATTTCCTCTAGGGAGACCGCCTTGAATACCAAAGCTAGAATGGCCCTTCCAGCATCCTGAGCACAAAAAGACTCAAACCCATTGCTGTTGAGTTGATTCTGACTCACAGCAACCCTATAGGACAGAGCAGAACTGCCCCATGGGGTTTCCAAGGCTGTAACCTTTATGGAAGCAGACTGCCACACCTTTCTCCCGCGGAGTGGCTGGTGGGTTCCAACTGCTGACCTTTCGGTAAACTGCCGAGCACTTAACCACTGTGCCAGCGGGGCCCCAGTACACATCCTAATTTTACGCATAAGAGTCCTGGCATCCATGAGGTCAAAAAGCCAAATTCTACCTACCTTCCCTTCATCACCCCACTGGCTATTTTAAAGACTAAAACGTTTTATTTAGAGAATAATAAACAGTTGCCTTCAAGTCAGCTCTGGCTTATGGTAACCCCATGTGTGTCAGATTAGACCTGTGTGCCACAGGGTTTTCCATGGCTGATTTTTTAGAATTAAATTGCCAGGCCTTTCTTCCTAGGCTAGGCATTTTGGTTAGCAGCCAAGCACATTTAACTGTACCACCCAGGGACTCCTAGAAAATATTGTCATTGGTGTTTTGTGCTGTCGCCTGGATTCTGACTCATGGTGATCTTATATATCACAGAATGAAGCATTGCCCAGTCCTGCACCATCTTCGTGATCATTAGTATGAGATAATAATAATAATAACAGAAGGTCCAATTTCTGGCTGTCATCTGAAAAAAGAAATCCCCAACTCTATATCCAGAGGGCAAAAGAAATACTGTTTTGACTTTTCCCCCCATCCCACCAGCCCCAGTCAAAACATACCAGGCACAATGTTCCCTAGACAAGTCAAGTCTTTCACACCCTTCGTGTGCGTGTGTGTGTGCGTGTGCGTGTGTATGCGTGTGTGTGTGTGGCTCACAGCATACATGAGATCATTTGGGGGCATTATGCCAGGGGAAATCCCACCCCCCTCTCCTCCCCCACACCTACCCACACGCGTGTATGATTTAACCACCCTGGGCTCTGCGGGGGGTCCCTGGATGGCACAAATGGTTTGTGCTCAACTAATTCCTGAAAGGTTAGAGGTTCCAACCCAGCTAGCAGTGCCATGAAGGAAGGCCTGAAGATCTGCTTCCATAAAGATTACAGCCAAGAAAACCCTACTGAGTAGTTCTAGTCTGTAACACATGAGGTTGCCATGAGTTGGAATTGACTCGATGGCAACAGGTTTGGTTTTGTTTTGAGCTCTATGGCTTGGGCTGCAGCTGCTAACTGGACAGGAAGAAAGTTAGTTTACAGCCCAGACAGGGCTCCTACAGTCACTGAGGGAGGAAGGATGGCTCTGGTGATGATCCCTACCCCTTGCAATTAAACATTCCTTAGGCTGTCCTCAGCAGCCCTGGTGGCATAGTGGTTAAGCGCTCAGCTGCTAGTCGAAAGGTTGATGGTTTGAACCCACCAGCTGCTCCACAGGAGAAAAGACCTGCTGATCTGCTTCCGTAAAGATTACAGCCTAGAAAACCCCATGGGGCAGTTCTACTTTGTCCTATAGGGTCGTTATGAGTTGGAATTGACTTAACAGCACATAACAACAACAGGCTGTCCTCTGGCCTTTGTGATATCTCCTTTCTTTCCTGACAGCTAACTGGGTCCAGTCTGCCTTAGTCAACTGTCTTAGAACAATGTAAGAATGTGTGAATGTATAATTTTCAGTCAATATGATAGACTGACCTAATGTAAAGTGGGCCCCTTCCACACCAAATACATAAAAATTGCTGAATAAAATGCAACAACAAAAAAAATCCTTAATCATACTCAAGCTTGAAAGAGGAAATTCCTAGGTGTCAGAAATAGAGGGGACACAAAACCATAGCAGTAAGTGAGCACTAAAGTTGTTGTGGCCACAGGGGTGTAAGAGGGAATTTAATATTCATGCAGGTGGTGTAATCAGGCTTCAGATCCTTGTGAGTCAGGGACTGAAAACAGAGCAACTGTCCTGCCTGTGAGATGGACTCTAGAAAAACTGCCCTGCTCACCAGCCCAGGGAGAGGAGGAAGCTTAGGGCCCAGTTTTAAAAAAGAGAGAGAGAGAAATTAAAAACCAATGCCTGTGCCATTCCACTTACATGCCGGTGGAATTATAATTTAAGTAATTAAAATGACAACAAATTCAGGAAGAGTGACAAACAGCTCAAGTAGAGGAACAAGCAAATCTCTGTGGGACAGATTCCCTCAGTAGGACATTTCTACAACCAAAAATACATGGAAATATCTGTCTATCCGTCTGTCTCTCTCTTACACACACACACATACACACACTCACAATTTGAAATTATAATTGAAAGTTACAAATCACACAAGCAAACAAATGACCATGAGGACAGGTCAATGGATGCAAATTATCAATTAGAAAATCAAGCCCTGGAGTTAATAGACTACCGTAAAACAATGAAACATATACAGTAAAATCTGCAAAAGCCAGAACCTGTGTAAGGCGGAAACCTAAAGAAAACTAAATGAGTGATTAAAAAGTGGTAAGACTGTACCCTGTCAAAGGCAGAAAACTTTAGAGACCTGGAAAAACAAGGCAGTCCCTCTGAGTTCCAGATCTCACAAGTTTCCCTGTATTTGTAATGTTTAAGTGGAGAAAAAAAGGTATGCGACGTCCAAGGTAATAATCTGGGAGGGGGATTTTAAAAAGAATTTAAAACTAAAATACTAGTCAATAATAGTTTGGAAGATGAGAGGAGAAAGATTAGAGTCAAAGTGTCATGAAGTCCTTCCATTTCAGGGAGGAGGATAATGATACTGACTTATGTTAGACTTTGAATTCAAATAAAGGTATTGAAAATTAACATAACCATTAAAATAATAGAAATGTGATATATAACTTACAAACCAGTAGAAGGAAATGGGGGAAATTTAAAAAAAAACACACACACAATCAATGCAATGAAAGGCGATAAGGTAGAAGAAAGGCAAAGAAAAAGCATGCCAAATATAAAATATAAATAGTATAGTAGAAATGTACCAAATATGTTAGTAATCTTAATAAATATATGAAGCTTTAATTACCTGTTAAAAGACAAAGACCTTCAGATTTTATGAGACAAGGGAACATTTTCATCCAATATTCTCAGTGGGTAAAGCTATGCCTGGCACAAATTACACACTTGATAAAGACCTACTGAATCAATAAATGAACAAATGCAGATATAATTCCAGCGCCTGTGCTTTTTCTATGTTATCAGACTTTCTCAGTTATCTCAATCTCAGCTATATGACTCAACTAGCTACTTACATAACACAAACCTCATTCTCTCCACCTAAATCTCCTTTCCAAAAGGCGCTTCTCCTCTCTCCAGCACATTTATTGGCCATCTCTTGTCCTTGGTCAAGAATTGGCAAAGAAGAGAAGAAAGCTAGGCTCCCATATGTATCAAGGTGTTTCACTGCACAGCCGAGACACCTTACAGATGGGTGAGTTGAGAAACGATGCCCCAGTAGTTGTGGAGGGAGAGTCAGGCCCAGGGGGCCCAGTGCACTAGAGATTTGGGAGGGAGCTGAGTTTCCCACTCTCCTCTGCTTTCAGTTGCTAGCATCACCTCCCTTTCCTATGTGGCCATAAGTAGACTTCCAGGAAGTGATGGGGAATCATGAGGTATTTCTACATTAAATGCCCTGTAACCATTTGAAGGGATGAGAAAATTCTTGGGGGATAGAAGTCTCCTCAGGCAGAGGAATTTTAGCCTACAGTTTTTTTTTTTTCTTACTCTTTACTTATTTCAAACTTTTTAATGGTAGACTCCTAAGAAGTTGCAAAAAATAGCACATAGAGTCCTGTGTACCCTTGATCCAGCCTCCCCCAGTGGTGACATATTTATATACCCATTGCCATCCAGTTGATTTCGACTCATAGCAACCCTATAGGACAGAGTAGAACTGTGCTATAGGGTTTCCAAGGCTGTAATCTTTATGTAAGCAGACTGCCACACCTTTCTCCCGAGCAACTGGTGGGTTGAAACCACTGATCTTTCAGTTAGCAACCAAGCACTTAACCACTGTGCCACCCCAAACCAAAAAAAAACCAAACCCATTGCCATCAAGTTGATTCTGATTCATAGTGATCCTATAGGACAGAGAAGAACCACCCCACAGTGTTTCCAAGGCTGTAATCTTTATGGAAGCAGACTGCCAAATCTTTCTCCCTCAGAGTGGCTGGTGGGTTCGAACTGCTTACCTTTCAGTTAGCAGCCAACCACTTTAACCACTGAGCAACTAGGACTCCTTATATTTATGTAACTGAAGTATAATAACAAGGAGCCCT